ATTAATCACCTCAATTCCCCAGTCAAAAGACATTGACTAGGAGATTAAATAATAAATAAATCAGGATCTATTTGCTGACTCTTGGAAACATACCTCATTATCAAAGGTACATGCAACTTTAGGATAAAAAGACAGAAAAGGGACTCCAAACCAATGGAACAAGAAACAGAAAGCCAATGCTGTTCTGATATATGAAAAAATGGGCTTCAACCCCATACCTTGTCAGAGATTCACCTCATATTGACCAAGAGGATATTATAATTTTAGACATGTATGTATATATACATGTATAGAAATGGATGCATGAAATTTCACAAAACACAATTCTATTAAAAGTCGTAGATTAACCAAAGAGACAGTAATAGTAGTGGATGAATTCAATACCCTACTTTTCACAATAGACAAATCATACAGACAAAATATACACAGAAAAATACCTTAGTTAACTGATATTATAGATTAAATGGGTCTAATAAACATCTATAAAACATTTAGTCCAAACATTAGGGAATATACATTCATTCCAACAACCCATAGAATTTTCTCTAAAATAGATCATACAATAGAAAGCAAGTATTCACAAAAAAAGGAAAATTGAAATAAGGTCTTCTATCTGATAACAACAGAATAAAACTATAAATCAACAACAGAAACTAATGAATATATACAAACTTATGAATATCATACAGCACACTTTGGAATGATGAATGAATCACTGAAGATACCACGATGGTGATCAACAAATTCCTAAATCAAAGACGTACCATAAGAAGGGCTGAGAAGAAAGAAAGTTTATAGCTATTAGTACCTACATTTCAAAATATTATAGCCATCTCCAGTAGTGATACACCTTTGGGCCTTACATGTATATAAACAAGTCAAACTCAAAATCAGTAATGCCAAAAAAATTAGGGTAGAAATTATTGAAATAGAAGCCATAAAAGTAATACAATGAAACGAAACAAAGAGTGGGTTCTTTGAAAAGACAAAAAAATAAATAAACCTTAGCCAAGCTAACAAGGGAGGAGAGAAAGAATCTATCCTGAGTGAGGTAACCCAGTCACAAAAAGACAAACATGGTATGTACTCACTCATATATGGATTTTAGACATGGATCAGGATAGTGCCAGCTGTACTTGCATAACAGAGAGTCTGGGAAACAGGAAAGAACCTAAGAGATATGCATGGAACCCAAGAGAAGAGGAATGAGGCAAGATCCTCTGAACAGATGGGGAACACGGCGAGGAGTGGTGGGGGAGTGGGAGCTGGGAAGAAGAGAGGGGGAGAAGAGGAAGAGAGAGTAGGTCATGGGGGAACAGGAAGGTTGAGTGGGGGGTAGAATAGGGGGAAGAGGGATCATAGGTTAGAAGACAGATCAGGCACCAGCGTGACCTCTAGTGACCTAAAGGGATGACACCAATTGGCAAGCTAAGCAATAGTGGAGAGACCACCTCGAATGCCCATTCCTGATAATGAACTTGATATCTATAACCATCCTGGAGCCTTCATCTAGTGACTGATGGCAGCAGAGGCAAACACCCACAGTTAAACACTGAACTGAATCCAAGGAACCCAGTGACAGAGAGAGAGGAGCGATGAGCAAATTGGCAAAGAATCGGCTGGCAAAACCAGCAGAGACAGCTGATCTGAATAGGGGAGAACTCTTGGACCCCAGACCGACAGCTGGGAGGCCAGCATGGGACTGATCCAGACCCCCTGAATGTGAGAGTCAGTGAAGAGGCCTGGGCAACCTATCGGGCCCTGAGCAGTGGACCAGGGTTTATCCCTGGAATACAAACAGACATCGTGTGTCCATAACACAAAGAGGGATGCTCTCTCAGCCTGGACTCTTAGGAGAGTGCCTGGCCCCTACCCTGAGTGAAATGACAGACTCTAGATATCCCCTATGTGGAAGGAAATGGCAATAGGGTGGGAGGCTGGGGGGGATGGTGGGGATGCGGGAGGAGGGGAGGGAGAGAGAACTGGGATTGACATGTGAAACAAGCTATTTAAAAGTCAAATAATAAAAAAAGAAATAAAAGAGAAAGAATCTATCTAAATTAATAGTCAGAAATGAAAAGGAAGTCACCACAAAATATACCACTATTTATGACACCCTTAGAACATACCTCAAAATCTCCTACTTCTTTAAATTTGAAAACCTAAAGAAGATGGATGAATTTCTAGATTCATATGACCTACTAAAATTAAAGCAGGATGAGCAAAAGTCTAAACAGATATGTAGCAAGATGTATGATCAAAATAGTGATAAAAATGTCTTTAAACTAAAAACTACCCAAGCCCAGAAAGATGCATTGCTGTATTCTGCAATGAGATATGAGCAAAGAACATAGGCTAGAATTCTGGGGCTGCTGTCAGCCACTCCTTCCAAATGGGCACCAGAGTTAGACAGTAACCACAATTCCAAAGATAATTCTACTCAAAAGGCCACTTGGAAAAAAGCTGACCCATAGTGTGAGTGTCCAGTAATGTTCTAGTCCATCTGTTTTCCCAATTAACGGGCTGTCTGAGATTAAAGGCATTAAAGAGTTGGGATGTATCCTAGTTAGTAGAGTACTTGCCTGGCATTGGGACACAAGTTTGATCACTAGTGAGGAAAACAAAAACATTAATGAGTATAATAAATTAAAGGTACCTAAGAGGAAGACAAGGTACTTAAGAAAGAGGTTGTATTTTAAAACCGGTTTGCAATATTCTTGGAGACACAAGAAGACCTAGAATGAACTAACGGTAATTAAGAGAGCAGTCAACTGAAATAATGAAAACGTAAGTGTCAAAATGTAAGCACAATTAAGAAATGAGTACATTAGGCGGGCGGTGGTGGTGCAAGCCTTTAATCCCAGCACTCGGGAGGCAGAGGCAGGCGGATCTCTGTGAGTTCGAGGCCAGGCTGGACCGACAGCCTCCAAAACAATACAGAGAAACCCTGTCTCATAAAACCAAAAAAAAAAAAGAAAAAAGAAATGAGTACATTATAAATAGAAAAGTGTCTACTGACATAGGAGATAGAAGATCTGCAGTGTAACTGGGTACAAAGACACAGGAAAGTTTTTGTATTGCAAATATAGAACCTTGGCAACTTATGGTAGGGTTGTTATTTATAAAAAATAAAAAAGTAAAAAGCAGGAGATAACAGCAGTGCTTATGGAATTATTCCATGTAACAGAAAAGGAAAGAATGTTATAAAACTCTTGTTTTATGAAGCCAGCATTATCCTGATACTAAAGCCAAACAAGCTACATAGAAAAGAAACTTATAGACTAAACTCCCTAATGAACACAGATGCAAAAGTTCTTGATAAACTATTTGCAAAGAGAATCTGTGACTGTATTTAAAAGATTATTCATCCTGACCAAGTTGACTTCATCCATAGATGCAGGAGTGGTACAACATGTATAAGTTCAATAAATTATATCCCATAATGTGTATAAGGACAGAAATCACATGATCATTTCAATAGCCTAACATCCCTTTATGAGAAAGACAAAAGGAGACTATGAGAAACTTACCTCAACATGATGAAGACTGTATGATAGACTTGTATCCAACACTATACTTAATTGGGGGAAAACTCAAGCATTCTCACTAAATTCAATAACAAGCTAAATATGGTTACCCTCTCTACTCTTACAAAATGTAACACATAAAGTCTTATCTATGGGAATAGTAAAAGAAGAGAAAATAAAGCTACTCTACTTCTGAGTATTTACCCAAAAAAGTTCAAGTCAACCCATCACAGAGACACTGGCAAATCAAAGGTTATTGTCACACAAGCCACTAGGTCATGAAACCAACCTCAGTGTCCAACAACAAAGGCACAGATACAGAACACATATAATGCAATTTTTATAGTCAAAAAAGAATAGTTATGTCCTTTGCAGGAAAATTTGTGCAACTGGGCTGAATCCTATTGGTCTCAGAAAGATAAATGCTGTCTATTTTCTCTCACTCTGAAACCCCATGTTTTATACAGATAAATTAACTTTTCTACGTATATATGATGTGAAGCAGACATAAAACTCTATAAGGTCAGAGAGGGAAAGGAGCCAAAAAGGACAGTAGGGTGCTATGGAGGGAATGAGCTCAACATACAATATATACTTGTATGAAAACTTTTTAATTTAAACCTAAAAATGTCTGAGAGCACCAGTGTATAGACATAGTCTTCTGTTTCACACATTATATTGCACAGTGACTTTGACCAAATGCTCCTTCTTCATGCTGCTTTTAACACTTTTCATTGTCAAATAAAATCTTTCATTAAAAAATACGGCTGTGGTACTTTATATTTTATAGTTTGGAGACAAATCTAGTCACAGACCACACAGCTCAGAAAGCAGATTTGAATTATTATTGTTCTTATTAAAAACTTTCCATTCTAAGACCCTGAGCATTTTTCATTCTGCTTCAAAACCGTTAGAAACTTCTATCTTTGTGTTATCTCTCCCACCAGTCATGTCACAGTTTCTAGTGAAGTCTCTGTCATTCCAAACCTCATATTAAAACCCATCATCTATTGAACTCAACATCTATAAGGAATATCTGGCTATTAGAAAGTCTACAGAAGCAAAGCCAATATCTCACTCATTTGCAAACTATCTGGTAACAATGGAATGTTGGTGCTGTTATTATCATCATAACTTATACATGCTACAAAGAGTTCCATATTGTAGCTAATGGGTCCAGAACCATTTCAAATAATAAACTGTCCTTCCAGACCTAACATAAAAACAATTTAATTTTCTTGAGAAATTATATGGCTTCTCTATTGTTTGTCACAAAACAGTATTTAAACACCTAGTTAGAGATGGTAATAACAGCCGAAACCTCTAAAATTTAATTTGTTGTGTCTTCCATTTCTTCCCTTCCATTTATTTACTTTAGAAGCAACCCAATGTTTTGCATGACCCCACCCACAAAGCCATGATTCAAGCTAGCTGTCTCTGATTCTCAAAGTTCCCAATGGTGACAAGACTTACTTGCTACTCAGGCAACGTCTCAGGGAGTAGGAGGCACCCCCACCACAGGTGCGGGAGCACTCGCTCCAAGGGCCCCAAGCATCCCAGAGGCCTTCACGGTCCTCTTCTGAGCGTGCAGTCCTGGAACTCTGCAAGAAATAGGAGAGGATGATTGGTTAGCATCATGTCCCCATTTAAACACCAATCCTAACATTGGGTGCCTGTCTCTCTATGATGGTCACACTTGAATTGAAATCCTACACTGGATACTTTTCCCTTTAATAATGCATGCCTGTTTAACTGCAGGGATATTTGATTTTAATGCTACTGGGCTAGGACTGACAATAAAAGATTTCATTAATGGACCAACTGTATAATAGAGTCTCAGAGAAAGCGTTATCTAGGTGAGAGGAAGACAGACAGCACTAAAGTCACCTTGCCTGTGATCCATGGACCCTGTACACTCCATCCCTCAGACGTACTGCTGCTCTGGGGGGTTTGGCGTGCACACACCAGCACAGCTTCCCACGCCTGACCATGGTGTACACAGCAGACGTCTTCTATGTGGCAATTCCATTCTCAGGTTCCAGATTTATTAACTAGAGCAATTGTATGAAATGACTTCAGTAGTGCAGAGATTTTTCTCCAGACCAATGGAATGGTTTATTATTCTACAGTTTCCCAAGGGAAAAGGCATCTGCTGTGAATGTAGCGGCTCTCCCATTCTAGCCCCCGTGCTGTACTTCACAGGCTTTACAGATAGCATCCGTGCTATAGCTAACAGCAAAAGCTTCAGAGCTAGAGACAATGAGCTTGGGTGTGAATTCTGCGCTTTAGTGACCTTTAACCAAATGACTTATAACCCCCAAATGCCTTCATTTCCCTTTTTAGCAAACACGAACAATATACTAGCTATACCATTGCACACACATGCACACACCCGTACACACATGCACACATATAGGTGATTAGCTGGATGATTTTAAGTTGATATTAGTGCTGGAGTAAAACATTCATCTTATATTCTTCAGCAATGTAAATAGGACTTTAACTGGCCCATGTTTCACTTACAGTCCTATATCATTGAAAAGAGAGCTGAGATGTTTAGGGTAGTAAGCCAAAAATATGATCTACTCAGCACACCGTGGGAGGATATCCTGGTTCTACAGCCTCCTGGCTGCAGAAACATCTACATAGACTCTTTATTGCTGTTTTCTTATCCTGAAAACGAGTGAATACTAAAAATGCCTTTCACTAATGATTCACTGAGAGGATTAACAGATAATTCATGGAAAACAGAAGCCAAAATAGGAACCACCCAATGTCCATGAATAGATGGATGCATACAAAATGTAGTACAATCATTCAAAGGGATGTTACTCAGCCTCAAAAACAAACTGTGACCCATGTAGCAACAATGGGGGAGCCTTGAAGACATTATTCTAAGTAACATAAGCCAGGCAAAACAGGACATATGCTGAGTGACTCCAATCACATAGTCCCTTAGGTAGCCATAGTTATTAGACACAAAAATATGGAAGGATAAATAATAGGGACTGAGATAGAAGACCTGAGGGATTGGTTGGGTAGACAATTTCCATTCTGAAAGGTAAAATACTCCACAGAAGGACAGGTTTTACTGTTGCATTAAAATGTGAATATTCTTGATGCTACTAAATTGGGAGAACTCAAAAGTGGTTACAATGATCAGTTTTAAGCACATTTTATTACAACAATATATATACATATATATTTATATATCAACACAGCTGGGACCTGTGAAGCTACAGGAAATGTGCTTGTCAGGCAACTACTTTTGAGTGTAGTTACGGCACTGCACTCTTCAGGCATCATTCCCTGCAACCCCTGACTTCTCACAGTAGTGTCCTGACACTGCCTGTCATATTGCATCTCTTTTGTGGTTTGAGCTGCCAGAATTTGGAGTCACACACTATGGGTGACAGAACCCCATCTGTAACCTCATAGCCTGTGTCCTTCCTAAAGAACTGAACTCCAAAGTTCAATGAACACCTTAAAGGGTGCTCAGATTCACTAGACTACCCAGTGAGAAAGGAGTACCACCAATGTCATTTCTGTACAAAAAAATCATCACATATTTTGAGACACACTCTGTACTTGCTTTCTGTGAGTGGATGTTAGGATAGTTGAGCTGGTCTTGACTGCACAAATCTGAGCCCAATTTTTTTAGGAGCTCGAGGTTGCAATATCAAAAGTTCAAGCCCTGCCTGAGTTTCAGAGAGTTCAAAACAGCCCAGGTGATTCAGTGATAGTTTTTCTTAAAGCAAAATAAAATGAGGGCTGGGTATGAAGCTCAGTAGCAGGGTACTTGCCTGGTATGTGCACTGTGCTAGGTTCCATCTAGGGTTCTTAAGGGGGAGGGGTGCTCTAGAAAGAGATACAGAGATTTCCTAAGTACCATTTCTGTAACAAATACACTTTTTTATGATGGTGTTTTTCTTTTCTTACTCAGATATGGTGTGGCTGAGATGGAAGCATTATCACAAATACCTTGGCTCACAAGTAACTGGAATGAGTCAAATGAGAGAGATAACTTTGATGAGATCCAAATATGACAATAAAAAGGCAAGAAGAAAAAGAAAAATCCCACTTGTAGAAATTTTACATGAACGTGTTTCTGTGTGAAGTGAGGCCAGAGCATTCAGTGGAGTGTCGCTCTCTGAGGACAACACTCAGAGAATGAAGGAGAGCTGTCTGCTTTCCTACCAATGGACCACTTCAAACTCTGCCAATGCTGCTTCATGTGCCTTGTCAAAGGCAACCCTGAAAGGCTCGATAGTGAGGCTTCCCTAGCTATAGTTTTACTACACTGAGAGTTATAAGTGCCATCAGAGCTAAACATGAGTGTTCACATTTCTTTGAAAGAGATCATGTGCAGTCTTAGAAATGAGGCCCAGATCTATTTCTTCAAGTAGAAGAAATTCCAAGTTCTCTTTTAGCAAGTAGGATAAACATAGCTCGTTTCAACTGTATTTGTGTTTAATGTTAGAGAAAATAATTTTCCTCCTTTTGACTGTGCTTGGGTTTTACATCTACAACAAGAAACAATATTTGAGCAATTACTTTCAGGTCATTTAAAATCCAAAATATTTGCTTATTGTACTCTTTGAGATAATCTTCAATACAAGCAACTTTTGTGTCTGGCCTGATTGAACTCTTGTTTATTTCTCTCCTTTGACTATGCAGCCCTTTTGACTTTTTGCCAGCATTTTTAGCCTAGTGATTTAGGTTGATCAAATTATTATGTAGCACACAAAAATAGAGCCATATACACACAAACATGGATATGTATATAACTATTCACTCTGGGACCCATAATTAAAATCTAAGATGAAGAACCATCAATTCTAACCTGGCTTCACTTAAGAGTGCTTGAACCACAACACTGATCCAAATTGCAAAATTCTAAAATCTCTGCCTGGCTGTGGAGTCACTCTCCTGTTGGAAAGGAGCCTGCTGGCTGGCCTTTCCGGTTCAGTTTAGTTCAGAAGGATGTGTGGAACAAGGGATTTCTTCTTGCTGAGACCAAAATATTGATAGGAGGGAGGTGACAGTTCTAGATTTTGCTTGAGAGCAGAAAAAACCAATTTTTAATATGGGCTCGAGCTGTAGATTCAACAACTACAGTGCCTCATCTTTTCATGGATGGCACATTTGCTCTGTGTTACAGCCAGCAGATACCTCATTCCTAGTTTAATCCCTTGTTTTGACTCATCCCAAGTCACCCACTTAAGCCTTACCCTTCTCAATTAGTAAAATCTAAGTTACATCTTTGTAAAAAACTGAAGCTTGCTGAAAAATAATGGTAGGGAACAGGTTGCTAAAAGCAATGCTGGCTACTTCTGAAACCAAAAATCTAAACTTCTATATAGCCAAGCCAGTGCGTTCCAGCTTTATCCCTACCACATGCATGCAAAGCTTTAATTTCAATATTTCAGATAGTGATGCACACCATTAAACACAGTGGTCATGAGATTAGGAAACAGGACAGAAATTCCAGTAACAGAGTTAGATGGGATAGACAATGGCCTTAACTAGGAACACCGGTGACAGAGATCTAAGTAACGACAATGAAATTGTCATTAAGTCAATGTTTCACCAGTAGGAAAATGACCAAAACTAGCCAAAGGACTCCTGTATCATCAGACTAGTGCAAGTTATAGCCATCATCAGAGAAGGTTTTTGTACAGCAAATAGTGGTTACTACAAAGACGCACAGCCAGTTAAAGTGGAGTGCTCAGTCCTAAGGGGGACGTCTGCTATCACGACCCCTCCACACCTGGACTCAGGGAACCTCATAGGAGAGAAAGCTGAAAGACTTTAAAGTCACAGGTTGGGGGAGACTGATGCAAAATAATGTCTTCTGGGCTTGACAGGGTCTCTGCACTCCTAAACTTCATGGAAGGTGTAGTGCTTCTGAAGATAGTACATCATGAAGAGGGATGGGGCTCACTAGTTGAGGAAATACTGACGGTTGGTAGCTTACAGGACAGTGAGAATCATTTTATTCATCAGTGCGACTGTTGTTGATGTCCTGTGCTGCAGTGGGTGCTGTCCTACCCCCATGTGCACATGGGTAGCACTAATTGGACTCTGGGTTTTCAAAAAAAAGATAAAGTTGTGAAGTCAGGGGCAGTGTCTGAGAGGAGTTGGGGTAGTAGAGGAATAATCGGATATGATTGAAATACATTATCATATGCATGCATAAAATTATAAAAGAATAATTTTTGAGTCAAAGGGTCAAGTCTACTTAGCCTTGGAGTATTTGTTTTATTTTGGTTATTAGATGAATACGAATGGTCAGAGAACATCTGATTTTTGCCATCATGGGAGAAACCAAGCAAATAATAAGAGAAGGAAGGCCCAAGTCATGCTTCTATAATCACATAAAATGTGAGCATGTGTATAAAATTACTCATTAGAAAACATTCTAGCCATTTCTAGATCTCCGGTGCCATGTATTGACTTTTAAATGGAATGTTTGATGAATCATATTTATTTTTGTGTTGGAAAACTCAGCAATCAATAATCCAATAACATCAATCCATTGTTGCAGTCCAGTTAACAGGTCTAAAGCATAAAAAAGTAGCAACCACATGGAAGATCATGT